AAATAAAACAGAAAACAAATCCAAGAAAGGAAGGAAGAAAAAAAGAAAGCAAAGGTGATAAAATATTTGAAAACGGTCAGGATGCAAGCACCAACAGGAGCCCAGTAGGAAAAACCCGTGTGGTCAGGAACAAGGCAAGAAGGTCCCACGATCCAATGTTGTACCAACTAACACAACAGGGCAAAAAATAATAATAATAAAATACTAACAAAAAGTATATAGATTGCGTAGGATGCAATAAAACTATCTCTGTTTACAGATGACATGATTTTCTACGTAGAAAACACAAAAGAATCAACGACAACAAAAAACCTCTTCCAACTAACAAACGATTGCAGCCAGATTGCCAGACGCGGGATCAGTATACGAAAGTCAACCACTTCTCTGTGCACCAGCAACGAACAAGCACAAGTGGAATTTACAAGCTTAAACAGCACAGTTATGTTTATGCAGCGCTAACCAAAAAAAGGACAAGAGCAACATACTGAAGTATAATCTACCGCAGTGTCAGCGTCCGCCAGGAAAGGCAAATCTGGAGCCACCGTACACAACCGGTACCATAACGGGACATGTCTGTGGTCACGGCGGGGCGGCTGAGCGTTGCTGGCGTCCGGTGCATCTTGTCTCGCAACGAACCCCAACTCGCGAGCTCTTCTGTGGCCTCCTCGAGCATCCTATTTTCGAACTTTAGAACCAATGGTTAGAACTTTGTCGATTCATAAACGGGGGTGGTTCACAGCCTGTCATCCTACGCTCTGGGAGGCCGAGGCGGGAGGACTCACCTCGAGGGTCAGGATTTCGAGACGCCTGAGGCAAGAGGACGACATCGTCTACCTACATCATACGAAACAAATTAATTGGAAGCGAAAAATAAAAACATATAGAACAAAATCTAGCCCGGGCACGCGCGCGGGTGGCCGCATGCCTGTAGTACGCCAGCTACTCGGCGAGGCTGAGGCAGGAGATCGGCTTGAGCCAGCAGGAGTCTGGTTGCTGTGAGCGAGGCCTGCCGCCACGGCACTCCACTCTAGCCCGGGCAACAAGCCGAGACTCTGTCTCAACCATAAATAAATAACATAACGAATGCAATCCGTGAGGCGGGCTCGTTACGGCTGAGCTTGTGCAAGACAGACCCACTGTGCCAGCTACCAGGAGACCACGCCCACAGCCCGCGGGAGGAGACAACTGCCGACAGCCGTGTGACGAGGGGGCGCCCTGCCCGAACACACGAAGTGACTGTCTCACAACGCCCCGCAGCGGGGCAACAAGGCGCCCGCGGGCAACCAGCCCCGCCGGGAGAGCTGGACACGCGGCTCCCG